CCTTCATCAGTGGAGTGAAGGATGTTTCCTCTGGTTACTTGATGTACGGTGAATTCATTAGTCATTAAAGACCATAGGAAGGATGTAGGTAAAGTACAGGTATAAATAATAAAATGAACAATGGCTGAATTCCATATAGCTGCTTCAGTTTCAGGTCCTGGGGTCAGTTTCACACACATATGTATTGCTGGTCTTTAGGGTTAGGCCATTTTAACACAAAGACTGACTTATTTTTTACAACCCTTAAATGTTTTAATGGCGACAATAAGTTGTTTGAGTTTACATTTATTGTCAAGCAAAAATAAATGTATATTTGGCGTTTTTTCACCAACTGGTTGGAAGCAAATAAACGTTTCTATGCAAGTTTTTCAAAGAATTCAGTGGCATTGAGTGCTACCTAGGCATTGCTGTAATGGCTAGAACACGGAGAAGAAGAAAACAAAAAACACCACCAGTTGAATAGGACATCTAACCAATCTACAAAAGCAAGGTAGAGATTCCTCAGGAGTTTGTTTCAATTGGGCATGTTTTAATTTTTCTTCAATTTCTGCAAAAATGGGCTATGTCATATGCCAAGACAAACTTGCGCGATGGCCCTATCAGTGCAAACAGCTGATTAGTAACATGAGTCAAACGTTCGCTGTGTTAGAACATCATTTTGAAGAGGTCATTCGATAATCAATTAAGCACATTGTGAACGTAAAGCTTTTGTGCAATTGAGGGAATTCCTATTTCTATACAGCTTTCCTAATGTGAAACTTCAAAATGCACATAAAGATTTGCTTATGGAAACAACACCCCGTGACCAGCTAATAAGTTGCGTCAGATAACAAAACAAAAAAGAGGAGAACATAACTTGAAATTGAACTAATTTGATTTGCCAACAACACTTTAAAGTGGAATCTTTATTAGAGAGTAAAGTAACCATTTGCAAACATACAGTGATGAGGACATGACCAGGTTTTAAATGTCGTAGGAAACTATTCTATGCAACAGAAGCTCATTTTCATGAATGAGTGGCTATGCATTTTCAAACAGTACATATGTCTGTCCCTCATGGCCTATAAAGGAAGTTCTGTATATATAGACACCAGAAAAAATATTAGAAAGATTTGTATTTTGGAAAAAAGTTCTGCAAAGGGTTTAATTTTGGCCGTGTCTTTTGCTCACCGACAATAAAACAGCCTCGACTAGCTGAACTTCCCCCCGTCAGATTTCTTGTGGTTGACCAAAGAGGCCCTGCTTTTCTTCCCTCTCCTCATTCTTCTCCTTTATTCTTTCCATCCCCTTCCACATCTCCATCACTTATTTCCCCCTCTGCTGGCTCCAGTCCCCTCTCTCTCACCCCTGCCTCTCCCCTCGCCTCTTTTTGTGGTTTCTCTCTCTCCTATTCTCTCCATAACAACGTACACATGCTGATCCAGATCTCTCTCCGTACAGAAGAGGAAGGGAGTCGCTCTGTAGCTCTCTGAATTCCACCTCACATCTGGAAACCATCTTCTTTCTCTCTCCCACTCTCTTTGCCAATCTCTCCCCCTCTCTCTCTCGCTCTATGTTGTAATGTAAATAGCCCTGTAATCATACTCCTGCTCTAAGCCTGCCGCACTGGGTGGTGTGTGTGTGTGTGTGTGTGTGTGTGTGTGTGTATATGAGATCTTACTCAGAACACACTCCTACAATCTGGAATTTTTTCTTCTTCTTCCTTCCAATCTCAGGTCCCAGCTGAGGTTTATGGGGTGATAAAAACAAAGCGGCCGTCTTTAACTTCACATGCTCACACACAACTATTGTGTGTGTGTTGAAGCAACAGGAGGCACACGAGCAGTTCCCTCAAAGAGTTTAATTAGATGACAATGGCCTAATGACCTGAAACTGAAGACTTTATGGACTGTCAACACAGTGCACACAGATGCACCTCATTGCTCCAGTGATGTCTATGAACAGTAAAAGGCTACTTATTATTGCTGTCTCAATTCACATAGGCCTACGTCTTTACTTACATGTGCAATTTTAGTGCGTCCCAATGCAGTGTGTGGCAAAATGCACTACGAGTATCCGAAAGGGGCACTAATAACGTTCAAAAAGTTGTGTTGGACACTTCTCACACGCAACTATCGCCATCTTGGCTACGCAACGTAAGCTACAGGAACTGCCGCGTTTGCAGTTGCTACAAATGAACGCAGAAATATACAAATACAATGTGTTTTTTCCCACTATATAATTAACGTACCACTATACTACTATCGAAAGAAGCCACTGTCCATTTTCTTAGGTTAATTGAGCAGTCTGTAAGGTTTTGCTATATACCCCAGTGATAAAGTTGCTAGCTGGCTAGCTAACATGTTGTGAGGGCACAGCAGCCATGCAGTTTGAAAAACTACACGGTTTGAAAAAAAAACACACACTCCACTAACAGTTTTTTTAATGAAAATAGAAAAATAAATTGTAGTTATTTAGTTATTATTTAAAATATAATGATATTTAAATATTTGTGTTATAGCCAGAACACTGCACGTTTGTTTATTCAGGTGTGCTTAGTCATATGCTTAATAAACATTGGCGAAGCAAATTAAGTTGTTTTATTGTTTTACAGGACGGTTTAAAAAGATATATAATTGTGCAATAGGGCAGTGATGTCCTGCCGTTTAGTTCCTGGTCTGGATCAAACTCCAAAAACACCAGAACCAGTACAACCAATACAATAATATAATTAAACCAATCGATCAAAGTTTATTTATTTGATTTGATTAATATAGCCCAATATCACAAATTGAACACTGCCTGCCTGGTACGTAGACGCCCTCCAGACACAAAACAAACAAAATACTTTTTTATTCTCAGGCTTACCAGTACTAGCCCTGACAAGCACACATCGCTACCGGCAGGTTTGATTGTTTGTTTGTCATCAGGATTACGGGAAAATAATGACTCATCCAGTTTCCTTAAACTTGACGGAAATGTAAAACATGTGCCAAGAAAAGAAACCATTACATTTTGGAAATGTTTAACTTACGGCATGTTCTTGGTCTATGTTTATTCTTTTCAAGTGCTCTTTTAGTGAGTAGATTAAAAGTAGTTTCCCATTAATAATGCAGGAAATAATACTAAAATCAAAATTCCCTCAGGCTGCACAGAATGCAAGAATTAAACCACATTCAGTATTACACTGACCAGGTCACAGCAACCACAAGATGTCTAATTGTCTAATTATGTATTAGTGAGTTATTATGAAAGGATTTCGTCCGTAAACAGGACATCCATGTAAAACCTCTGAGGGTTTGTTCAGTGACCCAGTGACTCAGTGACTGATGACCTGATCAGCTCTCAAATCAGGGCTTTGACATTTGACAGGACGCACGCACGCACGAACACACACACACACACACACACACACACACACACACGAACACACACACACACACACACACACACACACACACACACACACACACACACACACACACACACACACACACACACACACACACACACACACACACACACCACACACACACACACACACACACACACACACACACACACACACACACACACACACACACACACACACACACACACACACACACACACACACACACACACACACACACACACACACACACACACACACACACACACACACACACACACACACACACACACACACACACACACACACACACACACACACACACACACACACACACACACACACACACACACACACACACACACACACACACACACACACACACACACACACACACACACACACACACACACACATTTATCAAGCTTCTCACTCAGATTACCCTGATGCCCTAAACCCATGTATGGGCCAAGTGTGATAATGCTTACTCCATTTCCTGCAAATGACAAGTCTAATGTCATCAATTGTCAGGGTTTATCTATGCTTTGTGTGTTTGCTTTATTGTCACAAGGACACAATCAGATGTCTATGTTGGGTATATCCTCCTGAGGATCAGATCAGCAGATCCCAGATCAATAGAGCCTTTTATCCTCTCACACTGAACGACACCATGACTCTATTTCTGAATCAGGCACTGTCTATGTTCAGGATTACAGTGGTTTCCCACAAAGTGAAAGATAACAGTTTAATCTGGACCGTCCTTGACCTGCTACTACCAAACACTGAGCGCAGAGGGTGAGGTGTGTGTGTGTGTGTGTGTGTGTGTGTGTGTGTGTGTGTGTGTGTGTGTGTGTGTGTGCATGTGTGTAATCTCACAGCAGTACAGTATGTTGACCATAGTGAAAAAGACCAAAGTATGACATTAAAAAGACAAAATAAATTCGTGAAAAAATTGCAATAAAGTTGACCTTTTATACTTTTAAGGTGAATGCATATGCAAACAGTTACTCTTCATGATTACCTTTAACAACTGAGAACCAGGGTCCTATTATTGACATACCTCAAGCATACATTTGGAATAGATTTTAACCTTTAAATCATTTTAATGACCCAAATTCTCACGAGATAAATCATATTAAGTTGTAGAAGAAATTATCTTGAGATTCAATGATGTAATAAAGTAAAGTTTGCCTGAAGGCTTCATTAATTTGCTGGCAACGTTTTATCTGATTGCCTGAAGCCAAATATACTGTTTTGCCAACATTTTTGGGGAAATTAAAGAAATAAAGTCTACAGCATAGCAACATCACATCTAAGCTAGGATATCCAAGAGAGATGTCCCAAATAAAACTATGTAATAATTTACTATGGACTTCAAGAACTATAATTGCAGCCAGAAACCGCCCACCTACATCGCCCCAGTGTTGCCAGTAAACCATGGTCCATCCAGAAAACAGTATTTTCCTCTCTTAACAACTCAAACCGATGCACAAACAAAGGCACAGCTTTGTGGGACACTGTTATCGACCACACGTATCGATCATCAGTCAATCCTCATAATTCCCGCTGCATTATAACTCTACTCCGAGCACAACAAAGCTGAAGTTTCCGTGAGAACGTAAACACTTACCGTGTCTGCTCTATCTCAAACGGTCTCAGAGTGAACTCATCCCTCAGAGACTGAAGCCAAGACGACATGGACCCTGAGCTGTTAGTCGACTAATGATTGGATTATCTGTCTCCGTCCTGCCCGCGTCCAATGCTCAACGGAGCTGCGTTCACTGGCGGCACGGAATCTCCCAATCCCTACTTGCATATGAAAAAACTGGACCCATCATCTTTACCCTAGTTCCAAAAATGCAATGTTTCCTATTACTTTTCTCTGAGTGGAGCATGTTCTTCTTTTGTTTGTAAACGTTTTTGATATTTATTTATTTTCATATAGTTTTGCTTTTTTCAGGACCCACATCTCAAGAGTTTATTCCTGATAATTCATTTTATTTAAGATGAAAAAAAGAAAGGGAAACCATGACTCATTGCAACACAATAATAGTGATTAAAAACCATTCTTTTTCACACTTGAAAATGTAGGCTTGTGAATCACAATTTGGAAGAGCACTATCTGAAGAATTCACATTAAACGTGGTCAATGGCTGAACAAAAAATGCAGCCCTTTTAGTGGGCTTTTTTTCAGCTAGAATTAGCTCAAGTTGGACATACGTTTGTGTTATTATTGATATTATTTACAATAAGGTTTGCAACTTTAGGGTAATAGATACAATGCTGGTTTTAAATGGTATGGAATCTGATATTACAAAAACTGATGGTTTAGCAGTGACACTGAAATAAGGAATTGTAAATGGTAGATTGAACTGTGAGGTTTGTTTTGTTTCTGAGGCATTTAATATGGGAGATTTTCAAACAAGGAAAGTCAAACCATTCCAGGGCTACCTGTAAACCTAACTTAAAAGAGTATTTATATAACCTTTATATAAATAACCTTAAACATTTGTCGTTTCCTTGGGTTTGACAGATCAGTATACTGTAGCTATCAATAAGCACTGGTCTACAATTGTATTCCCTGAGCCTACGAGTTTGGGTACTGTTAATTAGGCCTAGTTTACATTTTTACGAGGAACACATAAATGCACCTTAAGCACAAAGCCAGCACCGGCCAAGTAACTTCTGATCAGATAAGAAAATGATCTCTGCTGCAAGAAATGTCCCTTTAACAAACAATTGAATCATGTTATCAGATCCAAATAATATTTAGTCTCTACAGATAGATGTGCTTAGACTATTCATTATGGTGAAAACAGCTGTGACTCTCTCACATCATTCGTTTCTTACACTGTACTCTGTCAACTTTTCTGGAGGAGCATGAAGCTGTGAACCTCTGGCATCGAGGATATCAATCCATCTAAACATGGTACTTATGCTCCAAAAGTATGTAAACTGTCTAAGGTTAAATATAGCTTAGTAAAAAAAGGCCCTTGTGTTTACATGACTTACAAAAATAACAGCATTGAAATAACATTTGCTCTCTTTTTGTAAAGAAGATAGAGAGGTACAGAAAGCCTAGTTTATTACTAGCTATCAAAGTTATTTACAGTCAAATAATTTCACAGTGAACAAATTGGGCTCCTTTGTGATTAATGCTGCCATCTAGGGTTGTGGCTGAGTTACTGCAGCACAACATGATTCAGTAATAAAGCTTGACATAAAACTTTACACTTTGAATTGCCTCTGTGTTTAAGGTGTTTAACACAAAAACCAGCCTCACCTCAAGTCATGTACAATTTAACTTCACACCTATGAGATATGATGTAATAAAGGGCTGTCTATTTTAGAAAACTAGTCATTTCGGTTTTGTCTCCCAAAATCCAAAGTAAAATTATTAACAAGGGAAATACAAAAAAATAATCTTTAATTCAGTTAACATTTAAAAAACATGAACGGAGCTTGGCAGAAAAAATCATGTCTCCAATGGTTTGACAAATGTCGGATCCACTTCTCTCTTTCTCATAATGAAAGCAGGAATAAAAAGGGAAATAAAAAAACACCTTGCTGAAGATTTGCTCAAACATTTACAAATTCAACAAAATGTGTATACAAATATTCATAAAATGTTTACAACTAGAGATCAGTGGAAAGAACTCCAATTACCTTTCATTGAATGTATTATTGTTTCATTCAGTCCTGTGTTGATTGACTTCTGTAATAATCACAGTTATTTGCCCATGGATTGGGAGGAAGGGTTGGTATTGTTTTTTGTTGGGTTTAATTTGGTTTTCCGAAGAATATTGTTTTACCTGTTGTGTATAAAAAGTGCTGTATAAACTAAGTTGGATTGATTTATAAAAGCATGGGTATTCACACAGGTAAGGAAAGGATGGTCATCTTTAAAGAATCACAGCCTCCCTCCCTCTTTGTATTTGCTGAGCAGTCCGTCGTCCACCCTCAGGGGGAAGTACAGGGTCCGGGTCTTGTAGTACTCGGGGTCGGACTGCAGGTTTTGGATGACGTCTGCGAGGAGGTGGGCCCGCTCCACACCGCAGCCCGGAGCCTCGTAGCCCAGCTTGGTGAAGTGGACGTGGAGGTGGTAGTAGGACGGCTGGTAGTGCAGGTACACTCGCAGTTTACTGGCTGGAAGCTGGTAGCGCTGCAGGATGGCTTCCTAGACCACAAGGAGACAAGTGTTGTTATTGTTTGGTTGACATTATAAAAATATCCAAGATTTTGTCTGTTATTACTAAGAATATCTCCAACTACGACTCTACACAGAACTGCAGAACTGAGATCGGTCAAGTCTTGTCTGAGGGCAAATCATGTCTTTCTTTGGCTGATTGATGGAAGCTGATTTTGAGAGGGACTGGTTCATAAAATGAGAGATAAGATCAAATCAATCTTTATCCCCGTAGAGGAAATGCAGGTGTCATGGCAGGAACAGTGATAAGAGTAAAAGACAGGATAGGAAAGGTAAGAGTTCACACAATGATAAGTAAAAAATAAGTGACATTATAAATTATATTTAAAGGTGTTTTAAATAAATAAAAATGTATAAATATGTTCAATATAAATATAACAAAAGTATCCTTTGATTTTGAAACAGGAGTTAGTTTTGTTAAGCCTTATTGAAGCTATTGCCACGATGTGGCGAGTAGTCTACATGGCGATTTATTCAACCTACTACGAATTGATTGAAAGCACAAAAGTTACTTTAAAGTTGAATTATTATCGAGTATTATTATTTTTGTAAAATATTTTTAGTTTTAAGTTTGGCCTTTTTATTATTATAGGGAAACAGATATTAAAGAGGGAGAGAGCGAGAAAAGCCAAAATAGCAATAAACGGTTGCATTAGTTGAAGTTAATGATTATAATATTCAAGGTTACATGAGTACACCGCGGCAGAAAAAAAGAGGGCATTTTTTCTACTCTTTTTTTCCAATAAGACCCCCCGAGGTGACTTTGTAAGCCCACCTTGCCCTTCTGGAAGATGTTCTGCAGCAGAGGGAGGTGCTCCTGCGTCAGGTCTCTGAGACTCCGGATGCCTCTCTGAAGTGTTATGGCGATCAGATATAAATCATCAACCTGGAAGAAGAAGAAGAAGAAGAAGAAGAAGACAGATGTTGGGAAACTGCACAGGTCCTGAGTCTCTTAAAGTATTGTTGTAATCAGATTAAATACTTTTCTAACACAACTTTACTTGACTTTTAATGACCTCAGGTTTGGAGCTCATGGGATTTCATAAAGTGTATTTATATTCCAGGTACCACCATGTCTTACCCGTCTCTTCCTGGCCTCTACTGTGGTCAATATGTATGGTGTCTCACCTGTTTCTGGTCCCATTTGAAATCTGGGAGGAGTAGAAATCCGACTGTTGGGTCTGGATCTTCAAAAACTATCCTGTCAGCCTCGGCCTTCTTCTCCAAGATGTTGTACACCCACTGGGGAAATAAAGGAATTCAAATGTATTTTACAGTTAAGTGTGCAATATTACGCCACTTAAAGCAGGTTATTAGTGCACTACAGGGGGAGATTTCAGGACACTGACCTGCACACTGAAACTCTGCTTCTGAATGTAAGGCAACGTGATGGACTGATAGTCCGCTCCCGTCTCCTCCACCAGGAAGCTCTCCTGACGCTGGTATTTCTTTATATGCTTCTCTGTGGCTGGACACACGACTGTAGTCTTTATCTCTGCAAAACAAACCCATCCATTATGTCAAAAAATTGCTCTTGCTTGCCAAAGTAGCTGCTGAATATACAATACCTTAAGTCTGTTTATTATTTTTAGATAATACCATTGAGTTGAGGGAGAGCCTGTAAGCGATACGTGCTGTAGATGTCGTTCTTCATCTCCAGCTTCAACGTTGAACCGGCGAAGAGCTCAGCCAGGGTGTCTTCTCTGATGGGGGTCTTCTCCAAGATTATCACCGCATCCTGATCAGCAAGCTGGTGAGGACATGTTCAATTTTTAAGGCTGGGCAGTTGAAAAAGTCTGGTAAATTCAGAAAATGCACCCTTCAATCAAAACCAGTAAAATACAGCATGATTATCAGGATATCCTAAATCTAAAAAGATGTATTGTCTCACACATGGTCTCACATCACAAAAATAAAATATTGATATTTTTAGCCCTGTGTTCAATTGTTTAAATACAGCCAAAAAGCTATAACAATTAAATGTACAGCGTTGTCAGTCATTTCAAGAACTTCTTCAAGTCCATCTTAACAATAAAGCACTTTTACACAGACTCGTATTTTGAAATATCAAACCGGAAGTCAATGTTCCCTACTTCCTGCACAAACTCCTCAAACCACTTTGAATGAATACAACAATAAAAACATTTTCCTTTGACGGTACCGATACTTCTTTAGACTGCATAAGCATAGCTACAATTAGTGTAATGCCGTCTGACAGTTAACAACAAACATCACGTCACCTTTCCGTGGATGAAGATGTTTTTCTCCCGGGCTGAATCACTCAAGACTTTAGTCGTTTTGAACTCAGACAGAATATTTCCACATTCAATTTCCTTTCCAACTTCTCCTCCGCCATTCTCGTTGTCAGATTTTGCCCTCTTGGCTTTCTGATATAATTCATCAGTTTCGTGTTTAGCCGCGCTGTCTGCCATGTTTCTGTGTTGCTGCTTTGTGGCCAAAGATCGTCTATGTAAAGAAGACCACTCACTCAACAACCGCCCCAAAACTATGGTGTGAGATCAGCCTCAATAAAAATACAAATGTACTTTGTGATTCAAATCAAATATAAATGAATGTCAATGTTATTATATTGTCTTTGATATGTTTACATTTGATTGTATCTTTATTGTATTGCTTAATATCACCTTTTAACTTAGATAAATAGATAGAAGGTTGTTGAAATTGCAAAAGTTAATTTGGTGCAGAGTGAGACCTTAAGTTATCTTCCATCTTTAGGCTACAGCAGTGTCAGGTTGAAAAAAGAAACACAACACCGGTGTGGTATTGAAATGATTGACAGATAATTTGACTAATATGATTAGCGCCTTGGGGCGGGGCAACTGCTGAGTGGACCAATTAAAAACATTTAACGAGGTAATAAGGAAGTTATTTAAAGAAAACACGGACACGCTCATTTGTTTGGATACCAGACACTGAAGCTCAGAAGGAATGCGAGATTAACTTGAACTATTTGTGACAGATATCGTGTCGTTAGTCCTCTCCACTGAACCAAAATGTACAAGGGTTTCCGAACATGGATTTTACTGCTGGTTTTTCACACACTGACAGTTGCTGTTTGGGCAAGACGAGGTAACGTTTCAGTTTGTACCAAGAACATTTTGAAAGCTAGAAAAATTGCATTAAACATGATTGCGACGTTCGCACAATAACACATAGACAGTTAATCTTGTTGTTCTGTAAATGTAATAAAGGTTGTCTGATTTATGAAAGTTGTGTTTAGGAAACGGTCAGTTTGTCTAATCTCAGTAACTAGCTCACATTAGCGGTTATTGAGTGGTTAATCGGTTTGTTTAATGTCTGAAGCTAGTAGGCTAGGTTTATTTTAATTTAAGTAATTTAATTTAGTCATTACGTTTTCCTTTGTTCATTAATTTAGTTGAAAGGAAAGTTTCTGTTTATTTTACTTATTTTTGTGCTATTTAAATTCGTCACATTTAGTTTTGACCAGGGTTTTGACATGTTTAAAAGTCACCTAGTATTAATTTTGACATGATTTTACTCCTACCTTCTATTACGTTTTTATTGGAAGTTATCTTTAAAAAATGCCTGATTCCATACGGTTATTTAAAAGCGTTAAACCAGTGAAAAACAATAATTAATTGTGGTGTTTTTTGCTTTTCAGGGAGGAGAAATGTCCTTTTCATAATTGCAGATGATTTGAGGACATCATTAGGCTGCTATGGGGACTCTCTCGTAAAATCACCTAACATTGATCAACTGGCATCCAAAAGCCAGGTTTTTCTCAATGCATATGCACAGGTCAGTTGGTGTTGGTATGTTTAATGTCCAACATGTATAACCCCATGGAGATCTTATTTAAAAGCAGTATTTTCATCTTTTAGCAATCAGTGTGTGCTCCCAGTCGAACGTCCATATTGACGAGTCGTAGACCGGACACCACCAGGCTCTATGACTTCAAATCGTACTGGAGAGTCCATTCTGGAAACTACACCACCATGCCACAGTACTTTAAATCTAAAGGTTACTTAACCTTGTCTGTGGGCAAGGTATTTCATCCAGGTAAGATTATTCATATACAATATTTGGATAGAACTATAATAACTTTATAGGAATAGCTTTATTGAGTAGGTGTAACTGTATTAAGGGTTAAACTCATAACTTTATAACTTAGGGTTTAATGTAATTGACTTAAAAGACAATAACAAATCAGGAGGAAGCCAGTCTAGATTTCCTTTTGAGGGCCACCAGCTGCAGAGTTAACTAATTAAAGGGACATTGCCCCACAGCTGTGAGAACTCAGCAATCAGGTGTCCATTTTAGGTAGCACTTTCCTGGAGCGTCAGCTTCAGCGTCAGACAGGCTAAGACTGGCAAAGACATTAGAGTCCTGCGGGAGTAAGACTGGCAAAGACATTAGAGTCCTGCGGGAGTCACGAGGGAGGCAAAGAGGAGGCAAATCCTGCTTTGATTGAACTAAGTATCGCTGGTGTTTTATTTTATTTGGTGGTTTAGCCCCTCATGCTATAATCATGTGTATTTTCTCCATTCCTGTTCATGTGTCTTCTCGCAATTATCACTGGCCCCGTGTATCTCCTAATCGATATAACCGGCCTGCTCTCGTCTATCCCACATGCTCCACTGAGATCCAACATCTAGTTTCAGGCGGCCTGTGGAACTGCCAGTCAGCTGTTCCTAAGGCTGACTTCATCTCTGGCTACGCTTCCCTGCAGTCTCTGGATTTCCTTGCTCTCACTGAGACGTGGATTACTCCATCCAACACATCCACCCCAGCAGCTCTCTCCACTGCATATTCCTTCTCCCATACACCCAGACCCACTGGCAGAGGAGGTGGCACTGGTCTCCTGCTCTCTCCCAAATGGAGCTTTTCCCTCTTCAAGCTACCTAACTTCACTCCTTCCACCTTTGAATTCCATGCTGTCACAGTAACCCATCCTATACAGTTAACCATTGTTGTTCTCTACCGTCCACCAGGCGCCTTGGGGGACTTCTTGGAGGAATTAGATCATCTCCTCTCACACATCCCTGAAACTGACCCTCCCGCTGTACTTCTCGGAGACTTCAACCTCCAGACAGGGAAGATAGACGAACTAACATCTCTGTTAACCGCCTTTGCTTTCTCACTGTCTCCGTCCCCACCGACTCATAAAGCTGGCAATGTCCTTGATCTCATATTCTCAAGGAACTGCGCTACTTCTAACCTCTCTGTAAACCTGCTCCACACATCCGATCACTTCTTAATTTCATTCTCTCTACCCCTTTCCAAACATAACAAACTAATCTCTTCTCATCCTGCACTTGTCCGCCGTAACCTTCGTTCCCTCTCCCCCTCTCCCCCTCTACCTTTGCCTCATCGGTGCTCTCAGCCCTCCCTTCCTCTGACTCGTTCCAACTCCTGCCTCCAAACTCTGCTGCAGAAACTCTCCTCTCTACTCTCTCATCCTCTCTGGACTCTCTCTGTCCTCTCACATCTCGGCAGGCTCGTCAGTCCCCTCCTGCTCCCTGGCTAAATGATGCACTGCGTGCTAATAGAACCATCCTTAGGGCAGCAGAGCGGAAACGGTGGAAATCCAAACACCGTGACGACCTCCTAACCTATCAGGCTCTCCTCTCCTCTTTCTCTGCTTCGATCTCTCAGGCAAAAAGCACTTTCTTTCAAGATAAGATCCAATCTTCCTATTCCAATCCTAAAAACTATTTTCCATCTTCTCCACCCTCTTGGACCCTCCAAAAGCTCCTCCCCCCTCCTCACTTCTGTCAAGCGACTTTGTTACCCACTTTGAAAAAAAGGTTGATGATATTCGCACTTCTTTTTCTGACTCACCTTTACTCACCGCTGGGTCACCAGACCCTCCTTCCACCAACACACTTACCTCCTTTTCCCCTCTCTCTCCAAGTGAGGTTCTTACCCTCATTACCTCTGCCCGCCCTACCACCTGTCCTCTGGACCCTATCCCTCAAACCTCCTTCAGACTATCGCTCCTGATATTCTACCGTTTCTCACCCATTTCATCAACACTTCTCTAACTTCTGGTCACTTTCCAAATAGTCTTAAGGAGGCAAGAGTAAACCCTCTCCTAAAGAAACCCACTCTCAACCCGTCTGATGTTATAAACTACAGGCCTGTCTCTCTCCTCCCGTTCCTGTCTAAATCACTTGAACGCGCTGTCTTTAAACAACTCTCCTGTTATCTCAATCAGAACAACCTTCTGGATCCGCACCAGTCTGGTTTCAAGGCAGGTCACTCCACAGAAACTGCTCTCATTGCTGTCACGGAGGAACTGCACACTGCCAAAACTGCATCCCTCTCCTCTGTCATCATCCTGTTGGACCTGTCTGCTGCATTCGACACGGTGAATCATCAGATCCTCCTTCGCACTCTCCAAAAACTTGGAGTTTCAGGCTTTGCACTTTCCCTCCTCACCTCATACCTGAAAGACCGTACCTACAGGGTAACTTGGAGAGGGTCTGAGTCCGACCCTTGTCAATTAACTACAGGGGTCCCTCAGGGCTCTGTTCTTGGTCCCCTCCTCTTCTCCCTGTACACAAACTCGCTCGGATCAGTCATTAGCCCGCATGGTTTTTCTTACCACTGCTACGCTGACGACACCCAATTAATTCTGTCCTTTCCCCGTTCAGAGACCCAGGTCGTCGCACGCATCTCTGCTTGTCTAGCTGACATCTCTCAGTGGATGTCTGCTCATCACCTCAAGCTCAACCTCGACAAGACTGAGCTGCTCTTCCTTCCGGGAAAAGATTGTCCCACTCTTGACCTAACAATCAACATCGGCACCTCAGTTGTTTCCCCGACTCAGACTGCAAGGAATCTGGGTGTGACCCTAGATAACAACCTGTCCTTCACTGCAAACATCGCTGCTACAACCTATTGCTGCAGATACACGCTTTACAACATCAGGAAGATACGTCCCCAGCTGACACAGAAAGCGACTCAGGTTCTGGTCCAGGCTCTCGTCATCTCACGCCTAGACTACTGCAACTCCCTCCTGGCTGGTCTACCTGCATGTGCCATCCGACCTCTGCAGCTCATCCAGAATGCAGCGGCTCGTCTGGTCTTCAACCTTCCTAAATTCTCCCACACCACTCCGCTCCTCCGCTCCCTTCACTGGCTTCCGGTAACTGCTAGAATCCACTTCAAGACACTGGTACTTGCGTACCATGCTGCGAATGTATCTGGCCCTTCGTACATCCAGGACATGGTTAAACTGTACACCCCAGCGCGTGCACTACGCTCTGCATCAGCCAAACGACTCGTTGCACCCTCGCTGCGAGGGGGACCCAAGTTCCCATCGGCGAAAACACGTGGGTTTGCTGTCCTGGCTCCAGGATGGTGGAATGAGCTCCCCATTGACATCAGGACGGCAGATAGCTTGCACATCTTCCGGCGCAAACTGAAAACTCATCTCTTTCGACTCCACTTCGAGCGTTAGAACTATTAACGAAGCACTTATATACTAATAAAGGACTGGATTACCTAAAGCCTGTTGAGTAGCACTTGAAATGTTTGGCTCTATGAAACCTGATGTACTTATATGATTCTGTTTTCTTCAAGGTTGTGTCTTCCTGGTCGAATGTACTTATTGTAAGTCGCTTTGGATAAAAGCGTCAGCTAAATGTAATGTAATTGATAGACTGTTGACCACCAAAACTGCCATCAGAAGCACATGTCTAATCTCTTTCTCTTTGGGTTTTCCCTTTCCTGTAGTGTGTCTTATAAAGGTTTTTGCTCAATGGTCTGTAAAGGCTAAATCCCTCCAGAGGGAGTTTCTCTTTTTCCAATAAATAATTGTATCCCTTACATGCCAAGCAAATGTATTATTTATTACATAGTCCCAATCTTTGTTAGAGCTGATTGTTTTCCATTTAAAATGGTGTTGTGCCACCTTTAGTTTTTCTTTTGTGGCAAAAATATTTTTCTATTTTTTAAACAACTTAAATTAAATGTGTCACCATTTTCAATTAAATTGGGTTATACACAGCTCTTGTTGCACAATAAATGTATATTCATCCCCTCCTCAGGTATTTGGTTTGCTACCTGGACTTTATTTTTGAAACAAAACATCTTCAAGTCATTTCACTTGTACAGTAGTTAAATTGTTTGCGGTGTTTTTTTATTCTTTAGGTATTGCTTCTAACCACACGGATGACTACCCCTACAGCTGGTCCATCCCTGCCTACCATCCAGCTTCATTCACATATGAAAAAAAAAAGGTTTGTGAAAAGGAAAACTGGATAAAAAGTTAAATTGACACACATGCAATTAAGTCAGTTATGTGTCTGAATTAGTACTCATTACAATTATAATGGAGCTTAACATAATATCAGTGATATATGTACCATCCTTTGTTACCGAAAAATAATTCTAAAGGGGTGGGGCTCAGAAACTGAGAAACCCTTCATCTCCCAACCCAGGAAATACTAGCTATTAACGGCTGTTTGGGAACAGGGTACAGAAAAGACAGTGTATAACTAACAAATTAACTTGACCAAGCAGGTCGATTTGAATACACGTACTGTTACACCCCTTAAGTGTGTGTGTGTGTGTGTATATATATATATACACAGTATATGGACAAATCAGGGTATCCGCTAGGATTTTTTTCTCGCCGGTCAAATGTCCGGGCAGAATTTATTTTATCGGACACATTTGAAACTTACCGGTCATATTTCAATAATAATAAGAGTTGTGTAGCAGAGTTTCCGTTAGCAGGTAATTACCGGACTGACCGGATATGCTGATGTTTAAAACACAGTTAATGGGCTCATTTTTATATTGCTTCAGTTTATAATCGTAACAGATCGAAAAATTCAGATTCATTTTCCAATAAATGATTCCACAAACAACATAATTATTACATTCAAACAAACTACTTGTAGTAGATGAAGTACATTATTCAAAAGTTTACATTAACTTTGAATAATAACACGGGAGAAACGGAATGCCTCTCTCTCTCTCTCTCTCTCTCACTTCTCTCTCTCCAATCCGTCTTCTCGTCTCCTCTCTCTCTCTCTCTCTCTCTCTCTCACTCTCTCTCTCTCTCTCTCTCTCTCTCTCTCTCTCTCTCTCTTCTCTCTCTCTCCTCTCTCTCTCTCTCTCTCTCCTCTCTCTCTCTCTCTCTCTCCTCTCTCTCTCTCCTCTCTCTCTCTCTCTCTCCCCCCCCCCCCCCTTCCTGACAGCCCGTCAGTTTCTCATGCTGCAGCTCGCTAAACAGTGGGCGGGGCTTCAGGTGATTATGCAGAGCTGTGTGTCTCTGTCAGACTCAGCAGCTGATCTGATCTCTCTCTCGCGTCCGGTTACACTTCACTCGCGTTTATGACCATATCGATCAGATCCAGCTCTCCTGATCGGGCTTTATAGAGAGCACCGATCAAACTATTAACAGTGAATATCGGCCGATAATGACCGGCGACCGATCTATCGGAGCATCACTAATTATTATCAGACATAGCTGTTGTGTAATGAATGAAAAACTTGGGTCACAGGTTCCTCACAATGCAATTACAAGTCATACAAAAATTAAATAACAACAATAAAAATAGTGCAAGCTCAGGCGTTAAGTAGTCTTGCTAACTATTGTGCATATGACAAAGCCTTTGAATATGACATGCCAATATCACATCCAGAAGCGACCACTGCAACAGATCCTCTATGGCACACTCTATTCAAACTCCTCAATTAACTCCAGTTTATTCAGAACTCTGCTGTTAGTCTCCAAACCAACTCAGATCAAGTCTGACATTTTTCTTGGATCACAGCAGCTCCATTTACAAAAGGACAAATATTAAGATATAAGAAAACAAGCATTTAACATTCTATGACAATCACTAAGGACGATATGTTTAAGACTTTTATTTTTTCCACCACCTGCGGGAACAGAGCCTTTTCCATAGCTGCCCCCCTCCCTCTGGAACTCCCTCCACAAACACAACCAATCTGTCTTTATTCTAATCACAAATAAAAACTCACCACTTCAGAACTGCGTTTAATGTGTAATTGTTAGTGTATTGTTTATATTTATTGTGTTATGTCAATTGTATTTGATTGCCTTCTCTCTTTTTTTTAAAAAGCACTATCAATTAAGTGTTATTATAAATGTGGGATTAGTTTACCAGACAGCAGGAACTGAAGCTTGAAAATACCTCTTAGCAGGAACTGTTCACAAACAGCACTTTGTAATTGATTTGTAAACCTTGTGTACAGATGTGTAAAGGAGAGGATGGGAAACTCCACGCCAACCTACTGTGTGCAGTGAACGTGACGCAGCAGCCCGGGGGAACCCTCCCCGACATGGAGAGCACGGACGAGGCCGTGCGGCTTCTGAAGAGTCGGGCCAGCGATGACAATCCTTTCTTCTTGGCTGTGGGCTTTCACAAACCACACATCCCCTTTAGGATACCACAGGTACATGACTTAATATGAACTTCTGTAAGACCCTCTGTTCACTGATAGAGATGGAACATCAATAATGGCTAAAGAGGCCCTATTGTGTTTGCTGTTTTCTCTTTCTTATAGTGTGTTGTATGTTTTTGTGTATGTTAATATGGAGGTTCTCTCCTCTAAATAATAGTTAAATCGCAAATGTTGTGATTTGAATCGGCATGGAAAATACTGCTTTGTTATCCCAATCTGAAACGCACATTTGAATCATAGTGGCTTCATTGTGTGCATGTTCATTACACGGCTCATTGGAGTGCAGTGCATGGAGAATCATTCTCCTGTCAGATGATCACATGCTGTAGATATGTACGGCGACAGCATGTGATCATTTGCAATAGCAGCCCATGATGGAACAGAGGCCTAGCTTCCCTCGTCAGTGGTGGTTCCTCGTTCTGGATTCTTGTAGGTAATAGTTAATAGGAGACACTTCTGTTGACAAAACAATGAAATGTATTGTTCCCCTAAGGAGATTTGTTTTGGACTCCGTTTTGCAGTTCAACAAAAGATGAAAAGTCCTACAAACTACGCAATAAAAGACAATAACCTGTTAACATCAATCAATGTTTATTTATATAGCCCAATATCACAAATGTTACATTTGTCTCAGTGGACTTCACAGTGTGTACAGAATATCAGTATGACAATACGACACCCTCTGTCCTTAGACCCTCACATCGTACAAGGAAAAACTTCCGGAGAAAACCCACAGTTTAAAGGGAAAAATGGGAGAAACCTCAGGGAGAGCAACAGAGGAGGGATCCCTCTCCCAGGACGGACAGACGTGCAATAGATGCCGTGTGTAAATTGAAAAGATAATACATTTGCAACATAGGTAGTCCAAATGTTTGGAAATGCATGTGTGTATAATAGGAAGATGAATCCACGAGGATATCCATCCAGGGCCTATGATCCAGGACCACAGCCACGACTCAAGATCCAGGGCTCGCGATCCAGGACAGAGGAGCGCAGGATCATCCATGACTCCGGATCCCGGCGTATATAGACACCAAAAAGAAAGACATTTGGGGAAGCTGGGTTAATCGGAACATGAGAGTTCACAGGTATAGACAGAGAGAAGGAAGAAGTAAGATGTCCCCCGACAAACTAAGCCTATATCAGCAAAACTAGGAGCTGAATCTAATCAGCCCTAACTATAAGCTTTATCAAAAAGGAAGGTCTTAAACGCACTCTTAAAAACGGATAGGGTGTCTGCCGCCCGAACACAAACTGGAAGCTGATTCCACAAATGTGGAGCTTGATAAGAAAAGGCTCATATACATAGTTTGTAAATACACATATACACAGACAACATACAGCGATTTCTGTTGGCACTTTGAACACTACAAGAATAGTTCTGCATGCAACTATTCTTCTGGTGGAATCTCTGTAACCCTCCTCTATGAATACGGAGATTCACTGGACTGAGGGGTAGAATTCACTACCCACTAAGCCACAATAGGTACTTGTTGAGTGGAAAAGTGAAGGTCATTTTCCTGCTGCGAGACGCAGGGTTGCTTCACAGGGTTGTTGTGGACAAAAGCTCATATGTTGGAGAACCATGTAATGACTGTCACAAGACCGGCGTCTGAGCACAAGATGGCAAAGTCTGAGAATGAATGATGGTGCTTACATGGAGAAGAGAGCATGTGGAGACCAGTATATAAGTTCCATAAATACACTGTGCTAGCCTGGGTTTAAAAGGAACACACAATAAAAGGTTTTCCCCTTTCCTCGAGTGTTACATAGGGTTTCATGCATGTAAATGTTCAGCTAAGGCTAAACTCCCAAATGCTCCCCCCCCCCCCAATTGAAACGGCTCCATTAGACTCTTTACTTTTTTACTCGTTACTTCCCTAACATAGTAAAATCACTATGTAACATTGCTCTTCTATTGGTTAGCACTCCAACACATTCTATGTGATAGGCAAGGGGGCGGGACATCTTTAAGCGGTTGACCAATCACAACCTGGTTTCAGACAGAGGGTGAAAAGAGGTGCTGCAGCACAGGCAGTATGAGAGATGGAACCTCTGAAAAAGAACACTAGAGACACACGCTGTATGTGAAGTGAATTCAAAGAGGACTGATCTAGATATATGGGAGATGCAATTTGGCGTGACGGAAGAGCAGAGCATGATGAAGTGGAATGAGGGCGGAGACGGACTGAACAGAGACGAATGTCAGCATGTCGAAGAGGTTTCTCACAAAGTGTAAGTTGAGAGATGGAAAGAGGAAAAGGTCGAGCCATCTTTCCGTCAGCATGTGATCTATGTGCCTTTTGATTCACTCCGTATTGTCTGGGAACGCACAGCAATCTCAGTCAGAGTGAAAACAAATGCAAAAGCTGCGGTTTCTACAAAGATGAAAGTCAGTGAAGCTAAAAACATCTTGGAACATTCATATTTTCCAAACATGGGACGCAGTTTCGTTTTTTTTGCATTGTCATTTAGCTTGGAAAGCAAAACCATGTGTAGCGGATATTTTTCCTTAAACAAAAAATAAACAAATCCAAAAATGATCTCAAAATGAAACTGGCACAGACAAGTGAAGGTCACGCAGGATAAAGTCCAATTTACAGACAATAATTCATTTATAGTAATGTTTTTAAAAAAATGTCTTACTGATGAAACACTCTTCCACCTGTCTCCAATACATATCAAATGGCCCGTTGCAAAGAAGCATACCAGACTACTCTACTGAACTAAAATAATGTCAATAATATCTCCATTTACTACAAAGCGGCAATAAAAGTTTTAGCAATTAAAAAAACACAAATGATGGATATCTCTTACACAAGAGGGCGATCATTCTGTAAATCCAGCTGTCTCTGTTCCTGGCTTTATTTACCTTTCTGTTGCTTATGTATTACAGGAGTACCTGAGTCTGTATCCCATTGAGGAAATCACTTTGGCCCCTGACCCCGATGTCCCTAAACTCCTCCCACCTGTTGCCTACAACCCCTGGACAGATGTGAGGAGGAGGGACGATGTCCAGAAGCTCAACATTAGCTTCCCCTATGGACCCATCCCTAAAGACTTCCAGGTTTGAACACTTTGAGACCATTTGTCCTGGATAAAGAAATGAAATATAGTGAACCCTCTTTAAATGACCTATATCGATGCATAATCTGTCCATATAATGTCGTCTGATTTGTATCCAAGTCAGTAAAACAGATCTGTGTAAACACTGGAATCATTGTTCTCCAAATGTGGATGTTATTCAATGGTCTTGATATTAAAAGTCCAAAATGACCTGTGTTCCAGCTGCGTATCCGGCAGCACTATTACGCCGCCGTGTCGTACATGGACGCTCAGGTCGGGCGGCTGCTCAGCGCCCTCGATGAGCTGCGTTTGTCCAACAGCACAGTGGTGGTGTTCACCTCAGATCACGGTGAGAACCTTTTCAATTAGATTTCTGGCCCAAATACTGACATGTTTTTTTGTTCTTTTCTGTAAAATAAAAAGTTCTAATGGCAGTTATCATTGCACAGTTTTTAGGAAGATTGTTTTACAGTTGGCTAGCAGAGAACTCACAGCGCTATAGATTCTTTAGTTTCCTTTATTAACCAGAATTCCTTCTGTTTTCCCCTTTTTAATACCTTAAACAGTTTGTACATAAACCTCATTGTATTTAAATGTGTATTTCAAAAAAACTTTGTATATAGTTTCCAATTTGTATACATATTAATTTAGTAGGAAGTTATATTCTGTGGTTTATAGATAATCTTTATACTGGTCATATTAGCGACTATACTCCTGAAAATATAAATAGCTAAGAGGCTAAACTTGGCTCTTGCTGTGATGCCTTCCAAAATAAAAGTCTGTCCTGAAGTTAAAGTTTTACGATTTTAACAAAGAAAATACACAAACAATAAACAAGCCAGCTCACCTCTGTGTCATAATAAAATACAAACGATGTACAAATAATGATAATAGAAATAATAAAGTTAGGCTAAATAAGCATATTTGCTCCTACATAAATATTTACTGTTTTTGCTTTGTTTTAATTCCTATTTTATTGTATTTTAAATTAACGTGCAATGCCTTGAAGACATGCTGGTGTGAAAAAACAACATTCCAATTTGGGATCATTAAATCTAATCTAAGTAAATATTGCAGATGTGTGGCAGTTGACTGTGCCACCACCAGATGGCAGTGTTGTAACAGCACATTGTGTTTTACTTCCTTTGGCTGTACTCTAAAAACCCAGCTCTTTATTGCCTTACCTCTTCTTTTTTTCAGACTTTGTGACTTGGAAACTTAATTTCTTTTAATGTCTCCTTCAGTGGAGGATGCAGGAGGGAATCTTTTCCATGACCGCTTGATTTATACGCAGTAAAACTCAATGAAATGCCATCATTTTCAAATATTAGATGACTGGGAATCTAACAATGTGATTTTATGTTGTAGATTAGCAGTCTTTTTAACACCTTTCATGATCTCTCTTTTTGTCTTTTGTTGCAGGTTGGTCGTTGGGAGAACACGGTGAATGGGCCAAATATTCCAATTTTGACGTGGCGACGCAAGTCCCCCTTATGTTCTACGTTCCTGGGGTCACCTCACACCGTAACTGGCGTGGAGAGTCTACCTTTCCTTATATTGACGCATTCAACCAATCACAGCACAGCTTTAACAGTAAGACTGATATTTCTTTATATTTTTGGTCTTAGTTCCTTTATAAAAAGTATTAATATGCCGACTTGACTTAAATGAAGTCTTTGATATACTTGGAGCTCTCCCTAAAGTGTTTCCACTTTGATATTTTTCCCGGACAGTTTCTGCTTCAAGTGCAAATGCAATGATGATGAAACTTAAGAGCTGGGTGCCTGGTGAATCTTTGACCATATCTTTACTTTCATTTGCCGTCAGTGCTTTTTAAGACGTTCACTAATTGGCTGACCTCTCTCTTCCAGATGACAAAGTGATTAAGAACATGGTGGAGCTGGTGGATGTTTTCCCGACCGTCTCCTACCTGGCCGGCCTCAGAGCTCCGAAACGCTGTCCTGATGTTTCCTTCCAGGTATGGAGCGATGGAAAGGAAGGAATGTGTTTATTTAGTTTTAAAATCCCCAAATTCCCTCTAGGGGGAGTTTCTCTCTTCTGTATACACCTGCATACTAGGTGTATAGGCCCTGTGCATGTGTGAGTGTTGTACTGTGTATAATAACAGAGGGAACTGAGTTAACCTCTTGCATGCCTCAACCCTAAACAAAGAATCCAACCTGGAGAAAAGTCTAAAGTCCTTGCCCAGACATGATTTAGTGCAAAGTGTTTTGAATGGAAAGACTTAGTGAGAATGCATGTGTTTGGGAAGTAGTGAGCACTGGATGATTTGACAAGTTGTATGAGAGTAATTTTAAGGGGAAAGTTCACCTAATTTATTCTTTGTAACCTTGGCAGAGCTCGTTTTTCTGTTATCAACCTTTTTTGTTGTCTATTTGAATCAATGTCATTTCCTGTTCACATTTCACTAACAGACCTTCAGGTACCTTTCTACAGATGGTTCAATGGCCTTGTATTAACACTGCCAAACAGATTGAATGTAGAGAAGTAAAACACGCCTGATGTGAAAGTGATCTAACGGCCTCTGTCTTTCATTCCCTGTCCTCTCGGGTCTGTTTTTCTTGCTGTCAGGAGGAGTTGTGTACAGAAGGAGCCAACCGGGCCCACATCTTCCGACGCCCAGAGAGAGGAGAGAACGGGGAGGCGGTGTCGTTCAGCCAGTACCCCCGACCCGCCAACACCCCGCAGGTACCACACCGGAGTGTTTAGAAAAGCAAATTAAATAGCCTTCACGAGCCGTATAAAGGTTAAATCATTATTATTTTCCATCGTTCAGAAAGCAGGTGAGTTCTGTAAATTAATGTCACACGGTACCTTTTTAATGAAAGGATTTTGTAGATGCATTTAAAATGAGTGAAGGTCATGAGAGCTGTGTTGAACGAGCGTGGTTTGGCTCTCTGACCCACTGCATTGTGCTGTCGCTCGTATGGAGCCGCCAGCAGGTTCTCTGGATGATCTCTGGATGAACGGATCCAGAGAAGAGAGCTGCACCTGCTGCAGGTTCAACTCTGTACGGAGCCGCCTAGCAGCCGCTCAGCAGCTCAGCCACGGGGCACAGGATGAGTTGGCAAAAGCTATAAATGAGCACTGCAGAAAGAAGGGCCGTAACCAAAGTCTTTTTTATTGAGGTTTTTTTAAATGAAACTTCAAATGTCCTAAAAAAATGTTTTTAAATATCCTCAAACTAAATTCTATATTTAAAGGTCCCATGTCATGCTTTTCCGGTTATTACCCGTCCCCATGTAGCGAGTAAAACTCTAACACAGAAAATACCTGTCTATGCTGCCCCAGAATGCCTCGTTGGAGATTTTTCTTTTTCCATTTGTTTCTTCTGGGAACCGCATCACGTCATGCGGTTCCCAGAACCAAAATGGACCAATCTGGAGCTCCTCACACACCAGGAGGGGTGGGAACCTTTAGCGTAAATGTTCATCTAACAGGGAGTCCCATTGACTTGCATAGAGCTCCCTGAACGTTGGTAATAGACGAGTTGGGATCGCGGAGATGCTCTCCACAGACCCATTCTCACAGCGTTATAATAAACCTTTTTCTTACTCAATATCAAGCCACACTTATTGTTTTTACTTCGGCTCTGAGTGTTTGCGTGCTCAGGATGAGTTTCGCGCTGTCTCGCTGTATCGCCGACCCGGAAACCACACCAGTAAGCCAGCTCACTGAGCAGTGAGCCTTGCAACGTCCCGACCAATCAGAGCATTATTATCTGTGAGAGGCTCAACATCAACAAATATGGAATGAAAAATATATATTTTTTTGTGGTTAGGTTGGTCATATGAATCTTTAATTTCAATTCATTATTTTAATTACTTTTGGGTCCTTTTTGAACATTGTTTTTATTTATAAATATTTTTTTCTTAATGTAAAAAAACTCGCTTTTAGATGTAAGGCATACAATAAGCTGTATTTTAATTAAATGTTTGCCTGTATGTAAAAAAAAAGAGAAAAAAAACAAAGGACATTTGTATAGACAATACATGAAAATAAGTCCTATGCAGCCACCACAGAAATCTGAATCTACAAATGGTTTAATGCTAATAATATTAGTGTGGCCTAATCTTCTGTTACTCTGCAGAAATACTGGGTGTAAACAAAAAAAGACATGTGAGATTTGAATGTCAACGATTTGAATGAAGCTTAAAAAAAGCCTCTACAGCCCTCGCCAAATGTTCTGTTGCATTTTTAAATGCTTTTATGTTCCCTTGTTGTTCTTTTAGGAGAACTCTGACCTCCCTGACCTCAAAGACATAAAGATCATGGGCTACTCTCTGCGCACCTGGGACTACAGATACACTCTGTGGCTGGGCTTCAACCCCAACACGTTCCAGGTGGGTGTCCTGCCCAGCATGAGGCTCGCACCTCTCACCAATGGCTCTCTCCTCCTCTGTGTCAACATTTCAGGTTCAGGCTGGGGAGTTGTGTTTGGGTAACGGATCTATCCATCTTGTCAGGCACAATAAACTGGAGATGTTTCCCACCACCGGAAGGACTGTAGTTCAGAGCCAGAATTGTTTTCAAATGTTTCCCAATGAGAACAGAGTGCTATCAAATGCAGCCTCCTTGTGAAAAAGAGTTGAACATTTTAAACCCTCAGCACACCACCATTTGTGTGCGTCTGCTTTGTGCGCTACAGGTTTAAAATGTTCAACTCTTCCAAAAATACTTGATGACAAAAGCCTGTTTTGACGGAAACTATCAGAACACAGATTAAAAAGGCAGATTTGTTGGAGCAGATTGGCCGGGCCGACGCTACTTTTGCTGTCGGTGAGTGGTTATACTTTTATCTCCATACGCAGATCATTTTTCTGTGACTGTGAGCCGTAATAGTCTTTTTTAATAACTTCTCATTTATTTTTTTACAGATTGAGTAGCGGTTACATTACATTCAAGATTTCTACATAAGCACCAACAATTACTTCAATTAGATAGTACCAGTTAATGGGAGCATTTTAAAGAATATATGAAGAAGAATATAAATACATAAGCAACAGAGTTAATGAAATGGTTGTAGCACAACAAAACAACAAGCTATGTGGACACAAAGCCTAACAGATTATATTTGTCTAACCCCCCCTCCGTCTCTCCACCCAGGTGAATGTCTCAGACGTCCACGCTGGAGAGCTGTACATGTTGGCGAGCGACCCCGGTCAGGATAACAACGTCTACAGCGACTTTGACCACAGTGTGATGATGACGAAGATGACCAGACTGCCTCCTGTAAGTTTCTACTCCTTTTGAAACTGAATGGAACTATTTACACACATTTGTTCAGTCATTTACTTCCTTGTGTTCTGACTCGTGTCTAGACCGTGAGTCTGCAGATGAGGATGAAGCTGCAGCTCCTCTACCTCTCAGCAGGGAGGAAGAGGAAGGCGTGATGATGGGAATAAAACAACAAATGGATGAATGGAGACGAGCACAAAGGGAAGATGGATGGAGGAAAAACATCTAGAAAGGGAGAATGAGTTATATATTCACCTTTAATTAAGGCAGACTTGATTTCATGTTATTTGGTAGCAGTATTCATCTCTCAGGTTGAATTCTTCAGGCTGATGTTCCTTGCTAAGAACTCGTGTGTTTCTACATCCATATGTTCACAGACACTTCCTCTTCCTGCTGCTAAACACAACTTCCTGTGTCTTTATTCCTGGGCCTCTTCACACCTGCCACTGACGTCTGTATTATCTCAATGAGTCAATTGTGAGAAGGAAGTGTCATTATAGTTTTGCATGACTCAAGCAGCTATTAGATAGATGTCTGATTATCTACGGCAAATACACTTTTTTTTTGGAGATGAGCATATTTGCTTTTCATTAAAGATTTGGATGAAAAGCTCTGTATGCTAAATATAAAGCTAGCTAGCAGGGGTTTAGCTTAGCATAAAGACTGGAATCAGGGTGAAACCGCTAGCCCGTTAAGCTAATTTATTGACTCATTATATGTAGCAAGCAATGTAAAAATGACATGTTTTGGAAATAATGGGACTAAAAGCAACTATACCAAGTCGTTTTTGTTGAGTAAAATGTTGCTTGCTGTTGGGGTTTAGCTTCCAGTCTTTATGCTAAGCTAAGCTAATAGGCATCTGGCTAATGTTAAGCAGTCTAGATTTTTCCAATGTAAATCAAATATTAGGTTTCCAAAAATCTTTAACTATTCCTTTAATATACCTAAAACCAGGGAATCTTTTTTTCCCTAACAACTTTACCGAAGCATGAATTGACGGACACATCTGATTGACTATGAGATGATTACATCTAATTTACAAGCTGTTTTTCGTCTTTCATCTAAAGTAATATTGAGGAAACCTAAAGAATTATCCCCTTTTTGATTAACAGCGACACCAGTTTCTCTCCTCTCTATTGATCTCATCTTCCTTGGGTGTCATCTCCTCACTTTGAAGTGCAACAGCTAAAAAGGACTCTCTGGTTCTTGTACCGTGGTGTTAAACTATATGACATTTCTATTTGCACTTGCAGCTATTTGCCTCCCTCCTTGTAAACAGTCAGTTCAGATCAATTTGTGGAGCCAAAATGAAGTGAGTAAAAGCCACCCGTAATAATTCAATGCAAATGAAACAGACTGGAGCTACGTTTTACTGCCGTTCCAACGCATGAGCAGTTTTGCACTGTGGCAATTTCAGTAGGAAGCAATTCCAGCTTGAATTTCAGGTCCAACAATGAATTGAGGGGATTCGATCTGTCAATTTTTATTGTAGGCTGCACCGGCTACATGGTAATGGGATGCAGAGGAGTCATCAGTGTGCTTCTAACATATGTCAGGCACTTGTTTTTTCACATGGAATCTCTCTGGCTGGTTCTGTATTTCTCCCCCTGTTGACTTCATTGTAATTGTTACATACTGTACATATTTTTTTTCAGTTGCTGTTCCTCCTGTGCCTGTAACAATGGTTATAACAGTTCTGCCCTGTACATACTGATACATACTAACAATGGAAAAATGAGCTCAGTTTGGTTGCATCAGAGCAGCTCCGAGCCTGAGCTCCAGCTTTCTGAAGGGAAAATAAAAAGTAAATGCTGCAGAAATAATTTGAATCTCAAGCTTGGCAAGGACACACTGTTAATATATTTAGGCCTGATTTGATTAGTTTGTTAAATAAATAAAAAACGTTTTTTACAGCAAAAGTTTGCCTCTTTATTTGCTAACTTATGATCCTCCAGTGTGTACATGTATGCATCCCTGTGTTTGTCCTACAGAAACCAAGCAGCCTTTCCACACACACACACACACAGACAGACAGACAGACAGACAGACAGACACACACACACACTCTCTCTCCTGTTGTGATGCATTTGTGCTCTCCCACAGCAGGCGTGTAAAGGGAGGGAGCTCCTCAGGGTCCTCTCCAGTCCATTCAGTGTTTTCTCTCCACCTCCCTCTGTCAATTCTCTCAGAGATGGAGCAGAGAACGCTTTGCTCTCTGGCTCTGGAGAAATTTGGACCAAACTGATTTTTTTTCTTTTTCTAATTTGCGTTTGGTTCCACAGAGTCAATCTGTCTGGGCAACACAAACGGTTAAAAGCCTTGTAATTGCATTTTGAAATATAGTATAAATTCAGTCTCATGCCTTTTGATTTTTTTTTACCGTTTTCAATTTCTGGGCAATCAAGCAGAACATGTGTGGGACTCGGCTTGAAGTGAAGTCTGAAAATGAAAAGTCAAAAATATCAAGACCAGGGAAACGCTTCACATCTCTCCCCTGCCAATTTCTCCTCTCGTAATAATTTATACTCTTTCATTCCATTTGGCTCTCCTCCTTCACACACATTTGTTTTTCCACAAGGGATTCATTTCGTTATGATTTGTTTGTAATGTTGATTGGATCACTGTATTAAAAATAACGTAGCTGTAAGACTGGCCAAAGTTTAATGTAGTTGCTTTTTTTGGCCACTTGGGGGCAGCAGAAACGAGCTGTGAACGCAACAAAGACATATTGCCTTTGAAAGTATCCCATGAAGTTATAGAACCTATGGAGTCTAACCCCCTAATCGCACCAGGAGCGTCTGCGACCTCCTCCTGCGTCCTAACCCACCAGGCGCGTTTCAAAACGTTGCGGAAGCGGAGCGTCGTGTGTGCAGCCTCGCAGTTGTTGGATGAACATTCCACTTCCTGCCTGCGCCGCGCTGCGCCGCGTCAAAAATAGGATTCATCCTATATTTTAGAAATTCCTTGCGGCGGGGAGCTTCTGGGACGCTTCGAGCCGTGGCGCAGCGTGTCTGGTGGAATAGCACCCATTGACTAGAGTGGCCGCGATCCGCAGACGCTCCTGGTGGGATTAGGGGGTAAGGGTATTTTCTCGATTTTTAGATGTTTTCTTAAATCCCCTTTTAAATGTATTTCTTCTAACATGGCACCCCATGTGTTACATATCAAAATGCTCAGGACAATCTCTGGTATTGCTATATATGCAAATTACTCACCTTAGAGCACTGTTTGATGAGATAAGTAGCTCAAAAGCTTAAAATTTGACATCCGATTTTCGGAAAATCTTCAAAACTCTTGTGAAAACACAAATGTACTGGTGATCGAATTGTTTTGGTGTTTTAGATTTTTTTACCAAAGTCTTAGGATCACAAAAGCAGTGAAATATTTGAATTACACTGTATATAAATGTGTTATTCATGTCTAAAATGAAAAAAATTCAATTCGAATTTTGAGTAAAATAGGTGTTTATCACTCTACTTTCACCACAGCAGGGACTGAGATACATTAGGACTGAATAATGACTTCATATTACATACCAAGGTTCATGTGATGTGTACAAATACAAATTGAGCATTCAACCTTTTTTTCAACAAACAATTTATTATAAATATGTTTTTTTCAACCAACTATTTATATAAATATAAGAAACTGGAAAATATAACTATTTACAAAATTGAACATCAGAACTTTCACCCAACTCTTCATTATAAATGTCAAGACAGTGTCAAGGTCTTTGTCTGTCTTCCAAGACAGTGGGTCTGGCTGCTGTGGGGGTGATGGTGCATGGGCTGCTGTGTAGGTGGGGTGTACAAGTGCTATACGAGACCTCCATGAGACCTCCTTGCTGGCTGGGTTGAAGGTGATGGCTGTGGTGGAGCCTTTGTGCTGAGGTGTATCTTGACCTGGTGGCAGCCGCAGATGGAGGTGGAGGCAGCTGTAGTGATGCTGGTCTGCTGGTCCTTGGTGGTGATGGCTCTGGTGAAGGCCCTTGAGCCACAGTAGATCTTGACCTGGGGGCAGGCACAGATGGATGTTCTGGCTGCTGGATAAACGCTGCCACCTGTGGGCCACTAGGCCCAGACAGCTGTGAAACATCTCTGTAAAACAAATTAAAATGTAGGACAATAATTACAACTAATTTCATTGGAATAAAGTTCAAGTAAAATGTTGCTCAAGCACAAATAACAATGCACACATAAAAAGAAAGTTTGGGAGGTTGGAGAAGGAGTCTCTCTCGATCTCTCTCACACACACACACACACACACACACACACACACACACACACACACACACACACACACACACACACACACACACACACACACACACACACACACACACACACACACACAGGTATTTCCAGTTACTTTACATTCCGTATAAAATCACAGACACACATAGGCTACATCTGATTACAAAGTCTCATCTGTACAGGACGGTAAAAATAATAACAGGCACACATATAAATAAATCTATGACAAAGTCTCATCTGTACAGAACAGTATGATAAAATAATCGATGGCAAAAACATGTCACTGTAAATGTCTCCGTTGTGGGACGAATACAATATTAATTTAATCATCTACACATGTAATCTCACAATTACACTATTACTGTAATATTTACACCTACTCATGTCCAAATGGATCCTTGTTGTTGTCTTTGTATTCTTCTTCTTCAGAAGAGTTGAAAACTTCAGGTTCTGAGGCTCTATCTTCACTGCTGCTAGCGAAAAAAGTTTTTTTTTAAGCCATTTTCTCTCTCTCGCTCTCTCTCCTCACAGACGTAAACTGATGGGAGACACGTGGTTTATGTTTGTTTACTTGGTGGGTAGGTCCTTAGTGATTTCTCGATGTCCATTGGTCATTTCAGACCATGGTGGCTTCCGGCCGAGATTTCCTTGACGGACACACGAATCCACCAATCCCACACAGTGTAAAGTCAAGCTGCTTTGAGTGGCCATATTGGCTGCTGTGCCCTGGTTACAGTCTCACAGGAGATACCACTGGAAAGCTACTCTTCCAGCGATTCCGCGGATATCTGAATCATATTTCTACTCCTTATAATCGAAAATATATGATTAATTACGTAAAATTATGCGCACCGACTCCAGAGGGTTAACACAAGAACACCACCGGCGTTCAGTGCTATGGAGAGATGTTTCATTTACTATTCCACGTTTTGGCAAATACCGCCAGGAAGAGCACTGGATTTTTAAGCAAATTTGACTGGCTCTGTCTGTCACGTGACAGCATACTTTTCCTCATAGACTTAGTAGCTTAATCTTTTAGGTAAATCATAGTGCTTTTAAACCATTTAAGTCCTAACATGGGGGGAAAAAAGCACTTCAATAGTAAGAATAAGTTTCCCTCCATGTATTTGAATAAGCCGAGACGGAGCCGCTGGAAGTCATATCGAAAGAAAAACTTCATTAGCTTTGTGCACAACTGAACCTCTTTAATAGGGGACCTGCCCCGAAGCTGTATCCAGTTATATACGTATACATAAATGACGCAAACACTAATGCAAAATCCAAGTATTCTTAAATCCAATACCCACTCTCCTTTTAGCTCTGCAGCACCTCCTGAGGGAAATATCTGACTCTTCAGCTGTTCAATTCTCCACCATGTTCCCCTAGCTAGTTGCTAGCTAAAGCTTGTTCAGCCTCAGTTGCAGATGCAGCTGTAAGAGCTTTTATCTACTCTGCCTGTATTCATGTTGGCCCATATTTCTGCCCCGGTGGTTTTATCAAATCAATATTTATTGTCACAAGCAGTGATCTCTGACCACGTTCAAATTGATCTAATGGCAATTACATTACTGTTTACCTGCTGTTTCCTCTCCCTCTGCTCCTCCCCTGCTGCCCTCTCTTTTTCTCACTCTCTCTTACCTGCTCCTTCCCTCCAATCCACTCTGTCTTTGTCTCACTCTCATCGCCTATCATTATATATTTCATACACTAGTAATCGCATTACAGCTATGGGCTCATATTCTGGCAGGTCACGCTGCCTTTCTGTTAACGTTTCCGACATACACAATTACATTAGGGAGAGGGAGAGTGTAAAAAACGCTTTGCTCAGCTGCATCATGACTAGGGTTCGTCTCAAGGCTGTGTGTGCGGGAATCCAGGAATAGTAAACAAACTGTAGAATACTCTGCCTCCCAAGGACTTGAAGAAGTGGTTTCAGAGTATTTCTCAGAGGAGCGGTTATTCACCAGAGATTCTCTCCATCGGCCAAATTAATTCTGTAGACTCGGCTGTCTCATTCTTTTGAGGCTTCTAAGCAGCTTACAGTATTTTATCTGGCCAGTTGTAGCCTACATCATAAAAAGAGACATTGTAGGGAAATAATAATATGCCATAGCTGGAATTAAGTTTGGTATCTAGCTATGCTCCAATATGTTCACCAGCAGGTCTTTCACTGTGTCTATGCTGTTTGTTGCTGAGCAAATAGAAATAATATAGTGGGTTTAGCAGACATTTTACAATGAAGACTGCTGCATGCTGTGGTTCAAATTACCATTCTTATTTATGGCGTTTGGTAAGCTATCATAATTCCCAGCATAGCATGGGTCTAATCAGACTAATAACTGAAACACACTGAGTGTGTTTGTGCACCATTGCGTGCATAAGAGAAGTCAACGTCACTCACTGGTTTGTGGAAGAGCGCTTTGAAGCCTTGAGTTTGGATTTTCGCTTTTGCCATCTTTGTTTTTTTGGGACCAGAAATAACTGTATTTGGGAAAGAGCTGAAGTGAGGCCTTTATATACCAACCCAGTCTCACGGCATTTCGTGTTCCCCAACACGATTTTTAATCTATTGATTCGTGTTCACCAACACGATTTGCCCCTTTTTTTCGTGTTGCACAGCACGATTTTAAAAGCAATGTATGTCTACTGCCTGCAGCATGTAAATT